GTAAGCGAGAGACAGCGAGAGAGGGAGAGAGAGAGCAAGAGAGGGAGAGAGGGAGAGAGAAAGAGAGCGAAACAGATAGGCAGAGCGTGAGAGGGAGAGAAAGAGAGATCGTAATATAGCAAGAGATAATTCAATGTTTTTTCAAGCGCTAAAGCTGAAGTTTTTCTGAAATTAGCAATCAAATTTTATCGCCTTTCAGAGGACATGGTAAAAACGTGCAGAACATCATCGCCAAGACGAGAAGCTTCGATGAGGTATGCAAACTTTTCGGAACCTTGAAAATTAAAGTTTTCAGCCGATTCGACCCCTCCAGCCTCCGCACGCGGCTACCCCGACGATTCGGAGCGTATTTTAATTTTTTGTTCGTTAATATTTTTGCATCTGCTGTATTTAAGGTTTATTAATAAATAATACCGGTTATTTGCAGAAAAAATAAAATTAAATATGTCAAAATTCGAAAAAATCCTTAAATTCTTATTGCGAGCTCACCAAATTTTTCTTACAAGGAGTGCTTTTTTTGAGTCATCTGCATAACCTAACGAAACCTAGCTCATTCGATAGAGAATTCGATTTTGAACAAGACCCCGTTGTTCTTTTTTGCAGAATGGCTATCCCTGATTTTATAAAATTTTAAAACTGCACCCAAAAGCCTCTCTTTTGGCTCGAAAGGCACTTATGGTAAGAGACGGTCACTAGTATTTTAATTTTATAAAATCAGGGATAGTCATTCTGCAAAAAAGAACAACGGGGTTTTGTTCAGAATCGAATTTTCTATCGAATCGCTAGGTCTCGTTAGGTTTTGCAGATGACTCAAAAAAAGCACTCCTTGTTAGAAAATCAAAAAATCTCTCTTAGCATCAATTATTTGCAATTTCCAGCTCAAACTTGTAAATTCTTTCGTCCTAAAATCATCTTTATCCAATACAAAAAGATCACCGGGGACCCGTCGTGATTTGCATAAAATGTGTGAAAACGTTCGAAAAAACCAAAAATGGTGCCAGAATGGGGTGGGAGGGGCTCTGTAAAGCACTAGGGTACACGTAAAATTCCTTAAAAATAATCCAAAAATTAAACATTCAAATGCGAGCAAAATTGGCAACATTCCAAGTGGAGGACGAGGCCAATTGTATTGGGCAAATTTTCGGAAAATTTGAAAACACAGAAATAGAAAAGAAATTGGCACTGGAATATTCAAATCGCTGAGTTGGAGGGGGAGAATTCGGCAGATTGGTGGGGGCGGGGTTTAAAGGAGCGTAGAAGGCAAAAATTTACTGAATCTAAGCCTAAGCCTACGCAAGCCTGCGCCTAAGTCTAAGCCTAAGCCTAAGTCCAAGCGAAGCCTAAGCATAAGCCCAAGCCTAGGCCTAAGCCAAGTCCAAGCCAAGCCTAAGCCTACGCCTAAGCCTAAGCATAAGCCTAGCCGAAGTCAGTATTTTGCCTTCAACACCCCTTTAAAGCCCGAAACATCACAAGTTTGGGCTCATCGTAAGCTGAGAGGGGTTTTTGGCGGGGAAAAGCTCTTTTTTGAAGTAATAAGATAAGGTACGATCTACGGAACTTCACAAGTATGTGTCTGTACAGCTTTCACGGCCGTTGACCAGGGCTGTCACTTCCGTGTTGACCACCTCGGAGCGGCTGCAGCGTCGGACTGATTGGGGAATTACCTGGAAAGAGGTGGTTCAGCGAGAGAGCGAGAGAGCGAGAGAGAGCAAGAGAGAGAGTGAGAGAGAGTGAGCAAGAGGCATGAGAGAGCCCTCACCTTTGTCCCATTCGGCGCCAACGAGTCTCGTTTCTGCGGGTTTACCAGCGTATTCTGGCGTGTTGTCAGATTGGACATGATTCTGGAGAATATAACTATAGTATGCAGTCGCAGTGGGTCGTTCGAAAGACATCTACAATGGATTTGCAGCCAGATCAGAATCAGATAAAAAATCGTCCAAAAAACTGGAAATCGTGAAAATCGACTTCCTTCCAGGAATCGAAATTTTCAGGCTTCCGGAAATCTACCGTGTTTTGACCACAAAATCAATTTTTCATTAGTTCCGTCGATGTTTGTATAATGTAATCCAGCCAGTTTAAAGCTAAGTTACACTACGCACCTATCGACGTTTGGTAGAATCGTGAGTAGAGTCTGTCGGTAGCGTGAGCAGGTGCAAACGTAGACCAGGAAGGCCACGTAGCAGTTGACGAGGCTGAAAAAAGGCTTATGAGTGAGAGAGAGAGAGAGAGAGAGAGAGAGAGAGAGAAAGAGAGAGAGAGAGAGAGAGAGAGAGAGAGAGAGAGAGAGAGAGAGAGAGAGAGAAAATAAGGCAAATCCTGACCTCAACAAATCCAGAACATCAGCCAATGGCGCGTAGACGTGACGGTGGAATTCCTGGGTGTACATTGCTAAAAATCCAGGATATTGTAATGTATACTGTTCAAAAACGTACCACTCAAAATGGCAATAACGCCTTGCGGTAACTCGGTGAAGAGGAAAACGCTGACCATTAAGAGGAGCATGTAGGTGGTTTGATCCCCTGAAATTCAAAGTTAAAAGAATAATAAAAAGAGAAAGAGAGAGCGAGAGAGAGCGAGAGAAAGAAAGGGAGAAGTTACCTCTCTTCCTCTGCTTCTCGTCCTCCTTCACGTGGAGGATCAGCTTCCGCTTCATCCTGTTGACGCGCATCTGGTGGATCAAGCCGACGGTCAGCCAGAAGAGCAAGAAGCAGGGGATCGCCTGGAAAAAGAAGTTATTGAGCTTAGAGCTTAGCTTAGGCTAGCTTAGGCTTAGTTTTTAAATGTCTACCTTCATGAAAATGCCAGTTATCCACAGGTTGGCCTTCATCAACACGCAACCGTTATCAAGCATCATGTTGGAGAAGCCGATTCTGAAACGATACTCTCTCTCTCTCTCTCTATCTCTCTCTCTCTCTCAAGCAAAGTGTTTTTAATACTCACTGATACAAGTAGTGCTTCTTATCATTCTCATCCAAGTAATAGTAGCTTGGGAGGATTTGGTGGTTGAGAAAAGTCGGTATGCTCAGCATCGCCACCCAGACGGCCAGCAAGATGCAGCCGATGCTGAAAAGATTCGAGTGATTGCCTTGTCTTGGCCTAAGCCTAACCTAAGCCTAAGCCTTAGCATAAGCACTCACCAAGCTCGTTGCGTCCTCATCCACCCGCTCCCTGGATTGATCATCACCCGCCACCGGATGAATGCCATCAACACGACCAGGTACAGGGTGATGGCGTGGCAGGCGATGGAGAGGGTTACGTGAAGCTGAAAATTGAGCTAGAGAACGAAAGAGAGAGAGCGAGAGTGAATGAGAGAGAGAGATACACAGCTAATCCCAACTTACCACGAGAATCCCCGTCCAAATATAAGAGTAGCCGTAGCGGTGCTCAAAGATTTCGAAGCGTGTGTTGTAGATCTGAAATTTGGAGTTTTTTGAAACGCGAAGCCAGCGAAACCCAGGCTTTTGCCTATACCCAAGCTCAGCCTAAACCCAAGCCTAAGCCGATAGGGCAAGCAACTTACCAAGTAGCTGACCATCGTGCTGATGTCGGAGCACGCGATTCCGATCAACACCGTGTGCACAGATGTGGATCGTAGTCGAGGTCTAAATTTTTTTGGGTATTAGAGGCAAAGAGAGAGAGAGAGAGAGAGCCAGAGCGAGAGAGAGCGAGAAATATAGAGAGAAACGTACTGCCTGAGCACCCAAATGTGAACCGAGTTGAAGAGCAGGCCGACGATGCACAAAATGACGGCCAGGTATCGGTGGATGGGCTTGTAGAAACTGAAATATACGATTTAAAGGGAGCGCGAAGCCAAATTCCGCAAAGAATCAGTGTTAGTTCTCTTACAAGTATCATTTCGGCAATATCATGGTGTAGAGAGGTGATTAACGAGAAACATTAAGTTAAAAATGACAATTTCAGGACCACAGTAACCCCCAAAACCAACTCACTTCTTAAATTCGACCGTAATATTCAAAATCGACGACGTCAACGGGTCGTCGAGGTCGAACAGCGGCGGCCCGTCGCTGCAGTTCATGGCCGGCTGAAAAATCCACATCAAAAAAGCGTTAGATTTGAAATTTCTGGCCAAACTGTGGTGAGAACTTCAAGCCAAGCAAGGTAGCGCTTTTTAAAACACCGTAAATAGTAGTGAGCGTAATTTTGCAGAAGCGTAAATGCTCGCAAAAAAAGATCTTGAATGATCAATGCGTGTTCTGCATGTTATTCCCGGCTCCAGACGCCGAAAAGCTGGATTTCCGATCCATTAGAATTTTTCAAAACATGCCTCCCTGGGGGGGGGCAGCAGTAGTCCGCCCGACGTAAATACGTAAAAAGTCGCGAAATTGGCGAGTACCCGTTGAACTCGTGAATACTAATGACGGGGTAAAAGTTAGTTTTTGGGGGCCAATGATCGTCGGATTACCATAAAACATTTTGAGGTTAAAAGCAGAAAAAGTAACTTATAAACCCACTGCCAAAAGTCTGGCGTAGGATTAGGCTTAGGCTTAAGCTTAGGATTAGGCTCAGGCTTAGGCTTAGTCTTAGACGTAGACTTGGCCGTACTTTGGCACCCGGAAAAGTTCCAGTAACTCGGTAAAAAGTTAAAATACCACTGTCTAAATTTTCTAAATAAACTTTCAGCTAGAGATAGAGAGAGAGAGAGAGGGAGGGAGAGAGATAGAGAGAGATTGAGAGAGAGAGATAGAGAGAGAGAGCGAAAGATCCGCTTCGAATTTAGCGATACAGTTTTCTACACCCGCAACATAAAGGATATTCAAAGATGTATGGATAATTATTGAGAATTATTGATAATGGTAGGGCTCTCAAAAAAACTCGCTTGATATCAGCTTCTCCTGGAACCGGAAACTGGCTATTAGAATACCTGAAGACCAGCTACAAAATTGCTCTATGTCTCTCTCCTCACTCTCTCTCTCTCTCTCTCTCTCTCTCTCTCTCTCTCTCTTTCTCTCTCTCTCTCTCGCTCTCTCATCCGCCCTCAACTCCAGAATTTTTCATTTCATTGCTACCTGCTCCCGGAAGTCTCTGCAAGCCTACAAAAACCCCCTATTTATCATGCAGAACACTCAACTTTAGCCAGACCAGACTTACTGTCAAAACTGCATATCCCCCCGTAATGCCCTGATTTCGGCACCAAAAACTCGTCAAAACGTTTTGTGCAAAATTGGGGGTTTCCAGGTAGGTGGGCGAGGTTCATTTCTGGGTTTTACAGAGCAGGAAAATGACGAATTTTGTGTTCGAAAAATCGGGAGGTCGGAAGATCAAAGCTAAACTTTGGCAAATTTTGGAAAAAATAGAGTTGACGAGCCGAGAAAAAGAGTGAGAGAGAGAGAAAGAGAGAGGGAGAGATAGAGAGTCACAGAGGGAGAGAGAGAGCGAGTGAGAGAGGAAGAAAGAGAGAGCGAGTGAGATAGAGAGAGCGAGAGAGCAAGAGAGAAAGAGATGGAGAGAGAAAGAGAGAGAGAGAGAGAGAGAGAGAGAGAGAGAGAGAGAGAGAGAGAGAGAGCAAGGGAGGCAGCGTGAGAGAGACGCTACAAAATTGACGTTAGAAAATTCTATAAAACTCGCTAAAAACTCGCAATGAAAAGCTGAGTGTTTTGAGACGGGGGCGATCGAGTGGGTGAGTAGCCAAAACAAACGATCAGCCGGAGGGGCGACCCCATAAATTCGGGCCGATCTGAGGACGGGCTGAGAAGAGGAGTCGAACGGAAGGAGGAATGGGGTGGAGCCACAGCCAGCTGTGGTGTAATAGGGGAAACAATCGGAAAAAAGTAATGTTCCGGATGGCAACAAAGGGCAATTAGGGTTAGGTCCAAGACCAAACTCGGCCTTGGCCTAAGCTTGAGCTCAATCTGGAGCCTTAGCGTAAGCCTAAGCCTAAGCCTAAACCTAAGCCTAAACCTAAGCCTAAGCCTAAGCCGAAGCCTAAGCCCAACCAAGCCAACGGAACGTTGCTCTAGGCCACTCTAAAATTCCCCGAAACCACCCAGTCATCCTCGCAACATTTGTTATGCGCCATTTGCCGTCATGTCTGGTGGTGGACAAATTGAAACGTCTGGCGAAAGAGAGAGAGAGAGAGAGAGAGAGAGGAGCGAGAGTGAGAGAGAGCCAATGAGAGAGTCGCTTACAAATTCCGAGATATGTCCCCGAACGAGAAATATATGGCCGTAAACTTTTTTGAGGTGGAATGGGGGGAAGGGGGTCCTGGGTCTGCAAGATGGACCCAAGGCACGCGATGCAGCTCTGGAGCAGCCATCCCGCCTACCTTGAATTCTTGGATCTAACGCTCAGCGCCATGCAAAGTTCGGAAAATCAGCAGATGACTCGAAAAATGATAAATGCAAAGTGAGAAAATGAAAGAACGGAGAGAGAGAGAGAGAGAGAGAGAGAGCAATAAACCTTTTCCGCATCATTTATACCAAAGCTTATAGATCTGGAATGAAAATCCCGTTGCTTCTTAAGCCTGGTCCCCCGTTATTTTCGTTTTTCCCGCAATTCACCTGCCCAGGGGAGGTACGGTAGAATGGTTGTAATTTAAGGGAAATCCCAAAAAACACCTGTTCTATTTTTCCGGTTGGGCCAGGGTTGACGCCACTCGACATTTGGAATAAGGTTTTTGTGGGAGCGTGAGCTCAAGCTTATCACATCAAAGAAACGTCACTTTCAAAAACGGCGGGCCGGTTTAGGCTTATCATTAGTGTGGGTTTAATTTAGGGAAAACCTAGAATGAAATAGCGATGTAAAACGGTGCAAGCTGGCAAACACAAAACTTCCTTTTAAGGGTCTGACATTGGCTAGCATTTGGCCACTTTTTCAATAGGGTGTCATTGAGTACGTGCCACAACATTCATTCGGTTTTTTTTTTGTTTTATTCAGACCCGTGACGGGTCGAAAAGTGTTGCTCTCTCTCGCTCTCGCTCTCTCTCGCTCTCGCTCTCTCTCTCACATCGCAGATGCAAAACAGCAAAAAATTCTTCTTCCGTTCGCCACCCGGAACTTTTTGCTCCCATTCCCCTAAATTGAGAAAGTAAATAAATCGGGGCTGCGGCCAATAAAGGAGGGGCCAGAGCCCCAGGCTTGGCCCTAAAGGGGCAATGTTTAGAAAAGGAGCCAAAGCCAATCTTGGCCTGGGGGATGGGTGTGGGGGTTTAAGGGGAAGTGGGGGAGGAGGCAGAAGGAGAAGCCGTGAAGCCCACGAAAAAAATGGCCGAATATATTAACTGGGGAAGGGGGAGAAGCTGAGCTATAGGCCGGAAGGTAGCGGAATTGGGAGGAAATTGGTTTAAACTGGCTGGAAAGTCAATTCTATGGGAAATCCCTCACCTTCGTGAAAACACTAGCTGTCACTCTGCCTTTAAAGTTTTGAAAGGGACTGCGAAGGCATCAAATTTGTGGGGAAAAAAATTGGAAAACTGAATTCCAACTGTCACGCTTTAAAGAAAAATTCAGCTTTTCAAGGCTAAAATTTTTAATTTGAGTTTT